TTTATATCATTCCATCATTTCTCAAAAAGAGATACATATAAGCTGTTTCGACACCTATAGAAATCCTTTATAAATTCTTCCTATTTATTTTCTAGCTTGGATTTTAAATTCCTTGGAAGATTTTGACTAATATGAAATATGCATTGGGCTGAATATGTAGTTGAAAATACAATAGGAATTGCAGCATCTAATGCTGGGTCGGTATCCGTAAACATTACAATTGGTGGTTGATTTGTGGCCTTGTTAATTGACTGCAAAATCCATATGTAGATATCTAGAGTTTTGTTACTTACTAATGTCTGACAAACTAAGGCATCTTTGAATTATTATCTATAATAATAAAAAGGCCTAATGGTATTTGATACTGATTTGTACATGCTGTATTATCATTAACTACTACATCATGGTATCTTAACCACAGGTTCACTTGCTCAGAAGATATCCATAAAAGCTGAACCAAACAATTATCCTCATCAAGTTCAAATTCGACAACCCACCTTGGATCTAACATTTTCTTTTCAACCAACGAAGTAAGTAAGTTTGATACATCATTATTCTTATTTGGATTAGAATTTTTGAATTTTCTAATTGCATTATTAAGATCAGTATCTTGAAAATTTAAGTTAGAAAACTATGCTTTAAGAAGTTTTCTTTGAACAGTAACCAATAAGTTTGCATGCTTAGTCATTATTTTTATTTCTTCTAAGGCTTCCTTGCTTAATGACCTATATTTAATCCTGAATTCCTGAGTTTCTGAGAACAGCTTATGATTATGCTTATTAACAAAAGTGGTTATTTCGATTTGATTTCTAGATTCGTCTAATGAAAGATTACAATGCTATTGGCATTCTAACTTTTTTGTTTTTGTATTACATTGTGTTTCTTTTTGTGCTGCTTTATGATCTTTTTTAGCTTTATACTTTTTGCTGAACTTACAAAAAAAGGTTCTTTTGTAGATTACACCAGTCTTACTATGTCTATTCCTATATTTGTTGATACTGAATCCATTTTGTGTACTATATTTAGCAAAAAAATTTTCAACTTGGTCCCAAGTGTCAAACTTTGAATCTAGTAGAATATCTTCTGATAGGACAATATCTGTTGATATATAGAATTAATTTATGATCCAAATTGTATAAAGATTAGGTTTGTAAGACTTATCATTTACAATTTCTATTTTTGTGACAGTTTGTACTGTCTCATTAGCCACTGGATTTTCATCTACTATTTTATCGCTCATTCTGTCACTTATTCTATCTATTGTGTTCTTTTGAACCTCAGTTTGAATACCATTTATAGCTGTGCACCGCTTTTATCTCCAAATATAACTACAAGATTTATGCTTATAAGTATGTTTGTCATGTATTATAAGTTTTATTAACATTACATACTATATTGCTGAATTAAGTTTTCTAGTTCAGTTTCCATTAGCTCCATTGGTGTCATTTCATCGAACGTGTTAAAATCCATATGTACGAATATTGAAAACTATGATTTCTGAAGTAGGATAAATTGGAATGATTGCGAAGATATATTATTTTTTGTTGTGGCTTATTTGTTTTATTTTTTATTTATTAGATGTGAGATATATTATTATTTCATGTTAATTTTATGCATAATTTATTAGATGTGAGATATATTATCATCACATGTTATTTTTTATCAGGTATAATATATCTAATAGAGTTATATTAATTAGTTAAAGATCAATATAAATGTAAGTATAATATGGTTTATTCAAGTAATAAGAATGATTTAATCTGAAATGAATAAAATATTGAACAGGTTTCATGTAACTTAAAATTAGTAGTATGTTGGTTGATGATTCTCTTGTACCCGAAGAGCATAGATAAGCTAGCTCTGTCAAAAGTCTTGGTCTCATGATTATTGTCATCCCAATGATTAGGCAGGTTGTATAATATGAGAATAATTAACCATCATCAAAATTAATTGTAATACAGTATAACCTCGATATAATGAAGATTATTTTTAATTATATTTAAATTAGCCTAATATAACAAAACTACTAATAAAGTTTTAATATAATGAAGCAAAACCTTCAGCTTCAGAGCTTCGTTATATCGAGGTTATACTGTATCTATGATAAGATGATGCTAATCCTGTTTATTGCTATGATTCATGGGTTTAATAATTCAGACAAAACGATTTTACTTTAGTACTGTTAAACAGAATGTCAAATCAAAGTTCTGGGGATTGAAATGGCATACAGTATTAGATATCAAGGTAAAAAAAAAAATGTATTATGAAATTCAAAAAAACCCCTTCTCGGGTTCAATTTTATGATTTCAAAATACGCTTAACAGTTTTTGTAACCACATTATTTAGCTGTTTTCAAGCATTCATTTTATTGAATTTGATAGAGAATCTGATTGACTAGTTTGATCATATATATCAATCATATTCATTGCATCGAGAGAGGTGCTTGGGAACGCCCTTAATTAATAATAATTATTCAATATTTTAGAGTTATACCGGCTGGGTGAAAAGTCTCAATACAGGACCCTTTTTTTTAATCACTATGATTATCGATCTAATACTGGTAATTTTAATTAATACTACTGTATGTATATATATTATATACTGTACGTAGTGATGGGACCTCCGAGTTCTAAGTTAATAATTTTTTTTTTTTTTTTTGGTTTATAGAATGACCTCATTGGTCAGGGGTTTCTCTTTATTATTAAAGTATCTGCAGTCCGCATTTTACGAAAGGGTTTATAGTAACATATCAACGAGGATACAATAAGCCACACATACAACTTTAGTCATTGTCTATTTAAAGGTTCCGCCCATAGGTTCTCCACTCATTGCCATACCTAAGATCCGCTTGTGGGTCCTCTATTTAAACTCTCTGATTTTCAATGTTATTCTGCTCATGTGATCTTTAATTTTAGGTACGTACTTTATCCAA